ACTAACTAAAATGCAATAGAATGAACTAGAGAAATTAAATGAAAAACACTAACAAACTTATCTTTGATACAACGTTATTCTGCAAATTTATTGACGAAAGAGGAGCACGAAAAGATGATTTTCTAGGGTTTCTTTTTGTTAGAGAATGGAGATTTTAAAGGATTTGTTTTGTGCATGAAAAGGTAGAGATAGTAAATACATAGGGTTAAAAAAGTGTATTTATTTATTTTTATATAGGGTTTTTTTTGTGCACTTATTGTCAACCAATGTTTTCTACAGCAATTATGGATCCAAATATCATGGTATGTAATCATATCATTTCAAAGGAATTTGTTTCTTCCAAATCTAACCTCCAATTCAATTAATATAGCTGTAGAAAGTAGGGAGAAAATAGTGCAATCCACCTGTAGAATTTAAATGTACAATAAAAAATGTCACAATTATCAACAACACTCATTAATGCTGGCCCATAATTGGAAAATATTGAAAGCAAATACACGTCCTATTGCTTTTCTTCCCATTCAATGCTCATTAATGCTGGCCCACAATTGCAAAAAATTGAAACCAATTACAGGGGTACTTTTAAGTTTGACCCAGTCAAAGGACCTAAATTTCACTTTGACTTCCAAAATCATGAATATTATGACATTGGCCTCTTGTATGGTAAAAGATAAAGATGCCCTTAAATGTTTTGTACAATTACAAACCAATATATTGTTGAAAGGACTATAATACCCTTTTAGTTAATAATTGAAAACCAAACACTTACCCACTTATAAAAACTTCAAAACGGGCTTCCAACACAGGAAAAACTCTCATCTTTTCATCTGCTTGAACCTCAAAATATAGAAAAACTTTGAAACGTTGAAGTCGAAAATTTTTTCATATCAATTACTTTAAATCGGTAAGTACATTTACGCATGTTTAATTTCGTTTTCAGTAAATTAGTATACGTTTGAATAGAGAAATTTTATATCGACATAGTAGTTAGCATAATTTTTTTTTAACAGATCTTACCTATCAAAAAAAATTGAACAGATGTATAATTTTAGAACCGTATTCTCTTATGCCAAAACAGCCAACTGGCTGTTAACAGCCAAACAGTCGACTGTTAAACAGCCAATTAACCGACTCTACACTGATTTTTGTTGGCCTTTTTCTTATAATTAATAAATGAAGTTGATTAAAACCATTTCCTCATGCAGATATGATAATCCCCGTGTGTTATTTCGGTGATTTCGAATTGAATGAAAATAATCAGTGGGAATGGAGACGGACGAGCGACATACGTGGTTGTATTGCAATTCCCATAACAGAGAGTACATCATACTTAGAAATGTACCACGATTTGCAAAATAAGCTGAATGTCGACCAATCTCAATACGATATGCAATTGAGATATCTATTCAACGGTTATGGGGATTCATCCATTTCGATGCCACCGGTATTTGTTACTAATGATGCTGAATTGCATTATCTATTAGAATTGAATAAAATGCATCGGACTCCAACTGTTCTTGGTGTGACTTTAATTACGAAGGATGTTATCGAAGGTGAACCCGAAGATTCAGATAGGGCGGATAACAATGATCGAGGTTTTTGGGAGACAGTGGAAATAGTTCGTGCGAATGATGTGGGTATTCCTGAGACAATTGCTTCTGATCGTGATGTCGCCGTTACGTGCAAAATTTCGTCGACAGTTGAAGACAATGAGAATATAAATGAGTTTACAAATGAAAATTTGATTGCTTTATCCCGACAGAGACACGAGCTGGGTGGGAGCTCACAAGTTGGAACAAGTGGACCGTCCTCCAATTTTTCCCGTGTGGCTCTCGATGATGAGGACTTGCAGGTCAAGCAACTGTTTGAAACCAAGAAAGATTTGCAGGAAGCTGTGCACCGGCTGTCATTAAAATATAACTTTGAGTTCAAGGTAAAGAAATCAAACAAGTAATTGTTGACAATTGCTTGCGTCGAAGACAGTTGCAATTGGTGCTTAAGAGCAACTAAGATGAACACGAATGAGTGCTTCATAATTCGCAAGTATTCACGGGAACATACTTGCAAAGTGGGAATTCTTCGAAATGATCACAGGCAAGCTCGAGCATGGTTTATTGGTTGACAGATAATGCCCAAGTATCAGGATCCACGGACGAGCTACAGACCTTCGAACTTCATTAACGACGTCCGTCAAGAGTACGGAGTGGTCATGAGCTATCAGAAAACGTGAAAGGCCAAAAAATGTGCGTTGGAGGATTTAATGGGATCGGCTGAAGAGAGCTATGCTAAATTGGCTAGGTATTACCATAACATGGGGATAACTAATCCTGGCACGGCATTTTCTATTGAGACGAGGGGCGATAATTGTTTTAAGTATTTCTTCATGGCTCTTGGACAATGTATTCGGGGTTTTCGAAATGCAATGCGACCCGTAATTCTAGTTGATGGTACAACTCTGAAAGCTAAATAGCAAGGCAAATTAATTATTGCTACATTTCAAGATGCCAACATCCAAATTTACCCTATTGCATTCGGCATAGTCGACAGCGAGAATGATCTGTCCATACGTTGGTTCTTTTCTAAACTGAGGGAAGTGATCGGGGAAGTCGAAGACCTTGCCTTTGTAACCGATCAGGGACAGTCTATAATAAACGGTATCGCTGAAGTTTTTCCCTGGGCACGTCAGGGTATTGCATATACCATATACAAGGTAATTTGAAGACTAGGTATCGGGGCACAGGCATCGTTTCATTGTTCAGGAGAGCAGCCGAAGCTTACAGTGCTGAAGAGTGTAATAAGTCCATGCTCGAGATAGGAAGTAAATCATTACCGGCGTTGGAGTATCTGACGAAGATGGGGATCGAACATTGGGCGCGGTCATACTTTCTAGGACATCGATACAACATGATGACGTCGAATAACGCAGAGTCTCTCAATACATTGTTTAAGAAGGATCTAGAGTTACCAATTCTCGCAATGATTGAGAGCATTCGTAATAAGCTACAACAGTGATTTCATGACCGACGTGCGGCATCACAGAGTTGCACTAGCGTGCTGGCCCTAGCTCAAGAGGAGAAACTGTTTAAGGCGGCAGAGGTTGCGAGAAAGTTGAATGTGGAAGCACTAGATGAGTTTCGCTTCTCCGTGCAATGTGCACGTAATACGGCATATATGGTGGACTTGACTGATAACACATGCACTTGTACGAGATTTTAGTTGGAAAGTTTTCCATGTGAGCATGCAGTTGTGGTGGCCATGTATCGAGGTTTTGCTGCGAGAACGTTATGCTCTTTATATTATACGACTGAGTCTTAGAGAACAGCATATGCCGAGACTATATTTCCTCTGCCGAATGAAGCCGAGTGGGAAGTTCCCGAGCACATTCTCCCATTTCATAATTTGTTACTACTAGCAGTTGAATCGCGTGGTTCTGGACGTCTAAATACATCTAGAATACCATCTATCGGAGAGTTTCCTCGACCGCGTAGGTGTGGCCGGTGTAGAGCCGTAGGGCATACTCGGCAATTTTGTACCAGTCAAATTCCCCTAAATGACGACTAGACAAGTACATAAAATGAATAATATTTCCTTTTACTTTACACTGTTCAATATTTGTTCTTTATAAATCTTCCATATTCAATATGTATTCTTGATAAATGGTATTTATAATGATTCATATGAAAAAAATAGTTCCATACTCGGCATACGTGTAAAATAACAAAAAGTAATTAAATTTCCAATTTGAATGTTATATACATTGAACACAAATTTACAATTATTTCATAATTACAAAAATAATTAAATTTACAATTGAAATGTTACATATATATAAATGAAATTTACGGGTCAGCATTAAATTCGAACAAATCACATGCTAGCTTTTTTCTCCAGTTCTGTATCCACGAGTGGTTAATTCCATCAACCTTATGTCTTATACTTAAAAATTCAACGTACTTAATGGCAAATATGCCGCAGTCACCGCTACAATTGAACAAGAATGAATCAGTTCAATACTGTGTAAATAAAAACTAAATCTGAAAGATGAAAACAACAAAGTTCAAACACTTACCTTACGGACTGTCGCGCTGTCGTCATGTTCCGAACGATCCGTAATCTGTCCTGTACATTTATCCCCGCTCGTCTGGCCATCATAGGAACAATTACAGCCACGGACTCCAGGTTTTGCTCCAACTGGCCTTGTGTCAAACATGAATGATTTGGGTCGTACACATATATAGTCGAGTCAGCAAAAACGATCTCCAGCGTAACATAGTGTTTATTGATGCACGCTAGAATGTACATATGTGTACAACCCTCCCATGATTTTTCTCCGACACTCGATGAGAGTCCTATCACCCACTCGAGCATATATTTTGGCACCGTGTGTACTCGTTACCCATAAGTTCGAGCGACTGATACTCTATGGTAACTGCACGTAGGAACTCGGTGTTTAATAAGACTCGACCATGGACATCAAATGATTTTGGATGTCTTTGAGCTCGATCTCGCAGTAAGTCCATGGCCAAGTCGATGTGCTGCAGCAGGAAACACCAAAAAAGTATGAGTTATTCATTTAATAAACACAAAGTCACATATACATAAAAAACACGAAATGAATAGTTCACTTACATCATCAGCAAGCCAAGATCTCGCACTGGTGATATCGTGGAACCACTTGTAAGGGTCCGAGACCGTCCTTTGACCTATCGTGCGGCTAACTCTGTAAAAAATAAAGAAATGTTAAAATAAGCGTAGACGAGTTAGCGTACAGTGCTTTATTAAAATCATACAATACTTACCCGGGGATAATTCTCCTCCACTCTGTCTCGAACGCTTTCTACTTGGCATTGTCCACCTCTCTAAATCAGTTCGGGTACGTCCCATCGATGAACGTCCTCCTCTTGGCCTCAGCCGTGAAGGGGGAAACAACATACTGTGACGGCACTCTCAACCTCTTGCCGACCACCTGCTCCGTCTCGTCAACAGCATGTCTCTTACCCTCAATCACGCCGAGCGTCCTCTCGACCTCCAGGGCCACCTCCTCCGTCCCTCCCATCGGGGCCTCCTCCTCCGTCCCTCCCATCGAGGCCACCCCCTTCGTCGCCGCCTCCTCCGCCCCTCCCGTCGAGGCCACCCCCTCCATAGACAACCACAATGACTCCAATGTCTCATCACGCCAAAAATGTGGGTGACCCCCCTCTCCATCACCATCTCTGCCACCCTCTCGATCATGATCTCTGCCATCCCCTCTGTCCCCCCATCGTCTGCCGTCTAAATCTCCTCTAAGCACCGCTACTGTATCCTTAAAGTCAACAACGGAAGACTATAGTGTTCAAACATCATGGGAAATATCGTCAACCCTCCCTGTCAACTCTCATCCCATATCGTCGACCCTCCCTGTTAGGTAGTCGACCTTCCCTACCAGATCGTCGACCCTCCCTGTCAACTCTCGTCCCAGATCATCGACCCTCTCCGTCAAATCTCATCGTAGCGCGCCGACCTCCTCCGCTATAAATCCAGTCAAACGGGCATACAAATCATCACTGTGCCCCGAAGACACACGGGGGAGGTGTCTAGATAGAGGTGATGCCGATGGCGACGGCGATGGCCCCGGCGGAGGTGATGCCCTCGACGGAGGTGATGCCAATGGCAGGGACCATACTCTCGACGGAGGTGATGCAAATGGTAGCGGTGATGCCCTCGGCGGAGGTGATCGTCGATCAGCTGGATCGCCCTCCTACATAAATAAAATTAAAAATTATTCAATAAATTTATACGTTGACGATATTCAATAAATTATATTTCATTCACATACCCAATCTCGGTCCAAGCTCGGATCAGACATCTCCTCGTCTGGGGTGTGCAGAACACCTAAATCCCGCACAAGGCCCCGAGCCTCCTCTTCCATCGACGGCGTCAACTCAGGTATGACTTCAAGTTGACGTATTGACATTTCAACTACTTAACGATCCTGTAAACAAAATTTTAAACTACGTATAATATAAATCACAAATGTATAATACTTATCTGAGGATCGTCGAGGAGGGCCGATAACTGCTTCCCAGTGGGACATCCCTCCGCTCGCGATGATCTCCAATGATGCATCCGAGGGCGACGTGTCTCCCCTCGCTGCGCAAAGCGGGCCCCCAGTACAAGAACTGTCCCATACACCCAAATCTGTAACACATACACTTATTAAGCATCAATGTAATACACTAAAACTTTAACTTTGATTATATTAAACATTTACCTACACCGTTAAGGGCAATCCATATGTATCATATTTACGCATCGACCCCCTGGGCCTCGAGTGCAATCTGGTGAACATATGTACGGTGTCTTCGTAGCATCTCTGGCCCCATGGATAGTTGTTGAATGCATCGATGTCTTCAATAACTTGCAAATGAAAAATGTCAATAGCAGTCTTCTTGTGATGACACCTCATCACACTCTCGAGGATGTAGACCAGCCCAAGCTTCAATCTATCTAGCATATGGTCGCACCCCTTGATCGCGACCATCAAGTCGGGTAGAAGCACCGACCCATGTCCCTGGAAGTGCATCTCGTACAGCTTATTGCTTCTCTCCATGGTGCATTGTCGCCCGTAATCCTCAGTCCAGTGATCAATGTAAACTCAAACATCGAGAAACTGACGACCTTGCCCCCGAGGTCGAACTGGAGGGAATCGTCGTCGACTAGCTTCAGAAGCCGACATAGAAGTGCATCAATGATCTGTCCTGAGTACTGCACCTCTTGCAACTGGTACAGTGGCCACAAGAAGGATTGTCGTAGCATATCTCCGTGCTGATCATCGAGCAGCTCCAACACAGCAGTAAAACTCTCAAAGCTACTGTTCCAAGTAGCTTTCTCCGCCATCCGTCTCAACTCTGCATCTAAATGATACTCCATCCTGTAAAAATTCAAATGTTATAGCATTGAACAAGAGATAACAAAAGAAAGCATAATCTCAAAAAATCAAAGGAATCGAACTCTAACTACCATACAATCACAAATATTACATTTGAAAAATATATTTACAAAAAAAACAAATCAAATTAAATGTATTGTCAAAAAAATTAAAGAATATAAATATTATTTAAATAAATTGAAAAAAATCAAAGATTTTCATAAAAGAACAATAAAAGGAACAAAACAAATTGTTAATTTCGAACAATATTATGTATTCAATTATTAAATTATATAAAAAAAAGGAAATTGTAAAAATTAAATAATTAAATAAAATAATTATTATTTGGGAAATATATTTACAAACAAAAAATTTCAAATTAAATACATTTTCGAAAAATGTAAAGACTATTTATGTTATTTAAATAAATTTGAAAAAATAAATTAAAGATTATTTCATAAAAAAAAAAAGGAACAATGCAAAATTGTTAATTTTAGAATATTTCAATTATTAAATTATATAAAAGACAAATATAAAAATTAAATAAATAATTACTTTACATTTCAAAAAATGTAAAGACTATTTATATTATTTAAATAAATTTGAAAAAATAAATTAAAGATTATTTCATAAAAAAAAGGAACAACACAAAATTGTTAATTTTAGAATATTTCAATTATTAAATTATATAAAACAAAAATATAAAAATTAAATAAATAATTACTTTACATTTTCAAAAAATGTAAAGACTATTTATATTATTTAAATAAATTTGAGAAAATAAATTAAATATTATTTCATAAAAACAAAAAAAATAAGGAACAACACAAAATCGTTAATTTTAGAATATTTCAATTATTAAATTATATAAAAGACAAATATAAAAATTAAATAAATAATTACTTTACCTTTTTTTAAAATGCAAAGACTATTCATATTATTTAAATAAAATTGAAAAAATAAATTAAAGATAATTTCATAAAAAAAAGGATCAACATTGTTAATTTTACAATATTTCAATTATTATATTATATTGACAATGATAAAAATTAAATAAATAAATAACATAATTACTATTTAATCAAATAAAAATTTAATTAGTTACAAAAATTATAAAAAACAAATAAAAATTAAATATATATATTTTTTACAAAATAAAGCAGACTGTTAAACAGTCTGGGCTGACTGTTAAAGTCATGGATCGACTGTTTACAGTCGGCCCAGACTGTTAATAGTCGGTTGCCGAAAATCGTCATTGCCGATGACAGAGCTCCAAAAATTGCAAAAAATCCACATTTTTCACACTCCCAACATGCCAACAATCTAACTACTCATGCCCATGAATCTAATTAAACCGAATAATGTAAGGAACATGCTAAATTTACTTATTCAATAAATTTTCTACTGAAACAAAAAGTCATCATGAAAACTAACCGGTTATTTTATTTTCGATGTAGATGATGGTCGTTGACTGCGACGTTGGTGTAGTTGCCAGTGGTTGATCGGTCAAATTTCTGGCGACTGTTCGTCGGTTGGTCGGTAAGATAGAATTTTTCAAATAGTCTAAAGGGTAAAATCGCCTTTTACTGTGAAGTTTTTTTTTAACTTAATTTGTTTTTTTTAATTCATTTAATGGGTCAAAGGCCAATGTCAAATTTTGCTACAGTGGAAGAGCCATTTTCGTGTATTTCATGTCATGTTGCTTTTCTTCCCATTCAGACCGATTATTTATCAATATAAAAGAAAATTTCAAACTGGTCAAATGTGAACACGAGTCGGACAAAAATGAACATTAAAATAGGATAGATTCTTTTAAGGTAGAGGAGAAATATAAGAAGAGTAAAAAAGATATATATATATATATAGAGAGAGAGAGAGAGAGAGAGAGAGAGAAATTTTCTAACATTATTTGCACGTGATTTTCTTTTTTATTCCTATTGATTGACACGATCGCTTGGACGATTCAGTTGCCGCTTTGCCACCATAGTCGTGTCTATCTTAAGATTTATGATTAAGGATTGTTTGACTCCCTTGAGTCTCATAAGGTGTCAATCTTATTACATTGAACATGTACTTTCATTTTAATGTTTTGGCTTGTCAATTACGAAAAAAAATTTTAGGGTATGAATATCAAACTTTAGAAGTCCACTTATTAACAAATGGAAGAAAACTTCTTCAATTTTCGTTGCCTTCTAATGAACTCCTATCGTTACTTGAACACACTGAGTATTCAAGTCGACCAATTGCTTTCTGTTTCTATGCTTACATCTATCAATACACTTAGCAAGGCATTGGTTTCAAATAAGCTATTAAGACATCCTGAATTTGCTATACAAGTAGTAGTTGTTTTTTTGTCTTGGTGAAATATTTCGCATTACGGTACCCGATCCCCCTTTTGTGATGAAATAATGCAAGATATGTTTCCCTTGATTATATCATCATTTGCATATCTCACGAACACATCCATGAATTTGTATACGATGGCAGTTAGGATACTAGACACCATGGCTAATGCAAAATACTACCTTATCATGTTGGACCTAAATTATGAATATAGGATAATTGAAATGTTCCAACACTTTCTTGTAGCTCTAAAAGGAAATCATTTAAGGAATGTCTTCACATCAGTTGAGACTATAATGACCATTACATTAGAAGACAGTGATAATATTCCTCTAGATTTGATTACCCTTTTTTGGATAGTGTTCAAAATAAATACAAAGATGTTTCTCCTATTACATTTAGTGTAGTGGAAAGATTTTTTGAAAAGTGTGCTGACACAATTAAACTTTACTTGTCACAAACTATAAAATCTTTAGAGATTTGTTTAGATGATTATAGTGCAGTTATTTCCTTCATTTTCACAGAAGTCAAATGTTGTGAACAATGTATTGTGTTCTCTATTTTAACCACATCTGTAGCCAATACACTTAACATTGACATAATTGAGAAAGTACCTAAAACAATGTCATCGAAGTCAAACATTTCAGATGTCCTAGATCTTATGCCTACTATGTTGCATGACTTTCATGTTGACTTTATTTTAATATTCCTCAATTACATGAGACTTTATGGGTTGCCACATTGTTTTATAATGTCATTACTTGACTTCACACTCTTCATATTAACATTAGGATGTGGCCAACTAATTATTGACAAGCTGTGCTAGCTCATCATTATGTTGGCGATGTTTCTAAATTTCATGCCAAGTTAAAATGTCAAATCCTTTCCAATCATGAAATTTTTGAATTTACTATCAATGTGAAAGATAATTTAGAGTGCTCTATTGACGAGTACTGTACTTTATTGTGAGTCTCTTTGATCCGATTTTCTAAAAATGTGAAGAAAAAGTTTTTGGACCACTCGTATAAAAAATTCATTTGACTAGTCATCTCACTTAAATGAAAGTTATATTTTCAATCTAGAAGAATGTTTCCTAATTGGAGCCCTTTCGAGCCTTCGATGTTGCAATCTTTTGTTTATATAGGTCAGCCTTCGGTGCTAAATTCTTATGCTCCTCATTATGTACAATTACATGAAGATTTTGGAATTGAGTTGTATGAGCATTTACTATTTGAAGATCAGTATTAGTATTTGATTAAAAAGAGAGATCGTCCTCCTCGGGTGGATCATATCCTTGAGGATAAGCTGTAGCTTTCACTATTATCAACTGTTGAATTTCAATATTTGATTCTTCAAAAAGATCATCCCCCGTGGCATGAGTTCAGAAGCTTAGCACTGAATAGAGATATGATATGGAACCTTGTTGGTATTAGGTTGACTGTAGCCTTTTGTGTTCTGTCCACTCGACAGGGTCGAGTTTACTCCCACCCGAAGAGAGTTGATGTGGACATCGGCTCAATTATTTTACTTCGTGTCTTATTTAATGATATCTTTTATTTCATTGAACTTGTCTAGTGGGTCCAAGCCCGTGAATATTAGGGTTTTTTTTGTTGCTATTTATATGTTGATAACTGGAATTGCAAAACAGTTGAAGCTTATGATGAATTGAAATTGGTTGTGGCGTCTCCTTCCTCTCACTTCCCCCTGAATTTCAGCTACTTCTCCGGTTTCTCCCCCCCATTCTCTCTGGTTCTCCCCCCTTTCTTGCTGCCCTCTTTTCGATCCTGCATCAAAATCCAAGAAAAATGCCTATACTTTCCCTTGGTTCAAGCTTCCCTTCATTTACATGCAGTCAAAAATTCTTAAAGTTCACATAATTCACTGCCATCCGTGACCAGAGTTCCATAGTTATTTTGAGTCCAATAGTTGCCAAGGAGTAGTCTTCACAGTCTAGAATCCAGCAGTCTTAGAAACTTGTCTGGTTTGTTGTCCAAGAATGAAGTGTTTACAAATTGAAGCTTGGAGATCTCTGTTTTACATAGTTCACTTGTGTGTCCCATCCGTAAGTACCAAAGTAAAGCTTGTTCAAATTCCAGTGGTGCAAAAAGCTGCAGTATTTCTAATAGTGTTACCTTTCAATATACTTCTTGCCCCTTTCTTTACATAGTAAGTACTCCTTTAGGTATAGTCAGTGCTTCGAACATATAACCAGAGATAACATCCCTAGTTGTATTCTTTCCACACCATCAGCCATCTTGATCTTGAAATTGCCTCTATCCGCAGGACATTAGATGTTGTTTCCTGATGACGTTTTGCCATCAGAAAATGCGACACAACCAATGCTTATCAGAGTTCCTTGAATCAAGATCCGTCCTGTGTTGAGCCTTTCATTCGTTATAGCCAACACATTTTCATGAAGTCAGTTGGGCCCTTCTCAACAAGTTAGACCATTGTAGCGCTATTTGGATACGGATTAACAAGAAGGGTGAACCTCGCTATCTTTTGTTCTCAGATATTTATTTTATTAGTTTTGTAGAGTAAGTTATCGCATTTAATACTGTTTCTTACTAACTGAAAAAGTTACATATAGGATTTTAAGAAGTAAAGTCTTCATGTTGATTTAACTTCTAGTAAACTTCTTATTTCTGATTGGTGGTTTTTTTTAACTAATTCTTGGAAGTGCTCTTTCTGGTCTTTCGGTAGATACTAGCTCAAACTCTGCCGAATCAATGAGTAATCATCCTAGTCGCGTTCTTTTTTTGTCATTCATTAGCTCCTCTGCATCACATTTGTACTCTCATGCTCTTCCATGATTAAAGTCTCCCTCCAAGTGAGATAGTAAAAAATCTGGTTTTTAATTACAGGACACTGTGCATCTACTTGTACAGTTATCAACCTTTCAACTGCTAATTCACCTTGCTGACAATTCTAATTAATTATTGACTTCGTGCTAGTGAATTTATATTATATTTTTTGCGATGCAATCAACACACAAACAAATCCAACAATAATGATAAAAAAGAAATTCTATGAACAGTTAAGATATAGAAAATGGGCAGAAACAAATTGTCGTTTATAAGATTTTATATCTGAATATCCTAGTTATAATGTTCAATTCTTCCTAAGTTCACCCAAATTACTCACAAAATTTTCTATATAGTTTTTCATAAAACATGGATCTGTTAAGGTTTCTTTCCACTTTGCATGGTTTTCCTTAATCAGGCAGCCTAGTTTACTGTCTTTATCCATTACAGACTTGATAGCCTTGCACAAATCCTCTTTTGTAAACAATCCATTTTCATCTCTCTCAACTTCAACAGCCGTTTTCAGTTCTTCAGCCAATAATCTGGTGTTCAATATCTGGTCACCTAAATGCGGAACAAGCACTATTTGGCAGCCACTCATCAGAGACTCCCACATTGAACCAAATCCACAGTGGCTCACAAAACAGCCTATTGATGGGTGGTTCAATATCAGAGGCTGTTGAACCATTCCTCCGTGTACTATTCCTCGCCCTCGAATTCGCTCCTCAAATCCCTCGGGCAATGCTTCTTCGATTGTTGTGCAGCCAAGCGGAGGTTTCAGGGCTATTAAGAATGGCAAGCCCGTTAGCTCAAACCCCATAACTAGTTCTTGAAACTGCTGCTTTTCAAGGATCAATTGGCTGCCGAATGCACAGAATACCACTGTACCTGTTGAAGACAATATTTATTATTTAGTGCATCCTTGAGAAAGCTAAACTTTTTATTTCGCACTTATTGCCCACAAAATTGTAAGTGTTACGCCCTAAATCCAATCGATTTAGTTTGTAAACGCTTTTAATATATTTAATACATTTGATTTTGACGAGATCTATTATTTATTTAAATTAATTTTGTAATAAATAATATTAAATAATAGAATCCGAAGATCCAATTTTTAGGTAATCTGTTAATCACAAGGAGTTGTGATTGTGAGATACAAATTACATATAATTGGATCTTGAATAAACCATGGTCGTAAGTAATAACGAGATACGAATATCGTTAATACAGTTAGACCATCACGTGTGGCATTTCTTACTTGTGAAGTAAGTAGCTGATCTCAGGAGTTAAAGTGTGGTGACACTTAAATGAACACGTGGATATTTGTTATAGAACAAAACATTGGAGACCCGCTAAGAGATTCCACATGGATAACTATCTGAGTGTCAGTGGCTAATCTCTAACGTTCGGTAGTGGAATTGGTCCTTTGACTTGAGGTCGTCATGATACCTTATATGAGAACAGTCATACTTTGGCGGTGTTGGATGTTGCTCTGAAAGGGGCCGCTAATACGACATCGTTCGGGTACGTCAAGAATCGTATGAAGGTTGTGATTGATCAATAAAGGATTCGTCACTCTTAGATAGTAGGAGATTATGATCTGCGTTTCATTCAATTAAGTCGATAATGAAATTCTTGGTCAAGGTGTACTCATAAGTCGAAAAGGAGTTTTCGATTTATATTGACTTAATAGTGGAATGAAAGATATGATCAACGATCGGGATTGACACAATTTCATATCTCGTAATTGATCGGATCGTATTGACGAAGGGATAATAGTTCCACGGTAAACGAACGAATTTGGTTTTGTCATACCACGTGACATTTTCCATCACATGTATTGCCCTAACACATTGCTAGATGTCAATCAGGGACGGCCACGACGTTAGGCATCGTGGTCGGGAACCTAATGGATCGCACACAAAAGAGAATTGGAAGACTGCAAATTGTCAATTGATTAATTTAACAATCGTTGGATAAATTAATTAATTGAATTTGTTATTTATAATCCCGAATTAATTAATTGGATTAATTAATTCACGGACCGAGTTTGATTAATTGGATTAATTAAATATTGGACCGGACCAGGCCGGGTCCATTTGGGTTTATATATATATTCAGCTAGGGTTTGAGGTCCATAAGGTATTCATTATTCTTGCTAGCACAAGAAAGAAACCCTAGCAGTTGCAGTCTACTCTCTGTGTGGATTTCATTGGAGGTTGGACAATTGGACAACTGTGGGAGGCAGATTCAAGCTTTTGGAAAGGAATAACGCGAAGGAGTTTGCAAATCACAAGAAAAGGTATATTTCTCATCACAGTTTTTATCTAAATACAAAGCTGAATCCTGAATGAGAATTGAAATTTGTTAAATTTCGCTGTGCATGTTTAAGTAAATTCCCAACAAAAATGACCCGCCCTAAGCAACGAAAGCTCAACAAGCCGCCATAAGAATTACATTAGTGTCGGGCTTTTCATGAAAAAATGATATTGCTTACATGTGAGGGGACATGTTTAAAATAATACCTGGCTCAAAGCTGTCAAGAAATTCCATCCACCGGTGCTCTAAAGGTGCTTTTGTTGGCTCAGTCAAGACAGGTCCGGTTAGCAGGATTGGCTTCCCATACTGGTTTCCTATATAATCACAAAAGGGACCTTCTAACTCTCTGCATGTCCTAACAGAGATGGCATTGCAGTTTCTCATTGCGGTCGTGATACGCTCGTAGAACGTGATCTCATCTCCAAATTCCGTAGAAATAAACGACAATGAACGTGCCTCGTGTTTTCGCAACACCACTGTGTCAGAAGGGTACCCTGCGGGAGGTTCCATCAATTCTTCGCCGGATACTGACCCGTCTTCCAAACCTTTCCGTGCAGGGACAAGAGCAATCGCGATAGACGCTGCACATACAACATTGTAACATACAGTTTTGAATCCAAATTCAGATGCTAAATCAGGTATCCAATGTGCAGTATCATAGAAAACAAAATCCGGGTTCAATCCATGGATTGTTTCTTTAACTTGATCACGCGTCAGATCCATGGCAGCGGCCAGACGGCTAGTTAGAAATATGGGTATTTCAGAGGCTGTCTCTGCGCCTGGAGGGAGGCCTTCGACTTGAGGAACAGAAAGTGCATAAAAAGTGATAAGATTGGGATGAGGATTAGCATTTTGTAACTGAATTTGAGCCTTTTTAGGCAACAAGAATGAGATTTTGTGACCCCTTAGAGCAAGCTCGTTAGAGAGATGGAGAAATGGAGTCATGTGGCCAAAGGCAAACCATGGGAACATGGCTATGTGAAGCTTCGACTGCACCATTTTTCACCTTCCTTTTTTGGTTGGTTTTCGATCGGGTTTTTGCTTAATATATGCATGGAATTTCATAATTGGAGAACCAATTTGTCGGCTGCATTTTTGCAGGCGGTGCAGTAGGTTAGGAATCCCCCACGCTTCCTCACCACTAGATTTTATTTATTTAAAAAGTTCATTTAAAAATGAATTTTGTATTAAATTTGCACTTGGACAGGGATGGTAATGGGGCAGGGCATCGTCAAAACCCCATCCTGCCCCAGGGTGGAGCGGGATGGCTTTTTGCCCCGTTTGCTACCCCAGTTATTTATTATATACATTTTTAAAATTTCAAGTTATAATATTATTAGATAATAAAATATAAATTCAAAATGAATTTTTAATGGGTGAATTGTCTAGAAATAAAGTTATTTTTTATTCAAATATAAGTTGGGTCAAATGAATAATAAGAGCCAAATTATTGTCTTCGTTTATTTTCTGGGTTTGCTCTAAAATGTTAAAATGTGATACTGTTTAGTAATTTTATTGGTTGTTGTTGAATGCATAATTTAAATATAAAAGCTTGTTCTCTGGAGATTTTTTAGTTTACCATTTATCATTTAATCAATATAATTCAAAATGGGATTTTTTTTCCTTCATGGGGCGAGGTTTAGGATGGGGCAGAATTTGTTGCCATCACTACACTTGGATACATTTTTTCTATTAACACACTCATAAATTTCAAAAACTTGATTTTATGATCTTGATATTATCCGACTCTACGTTGAATTATCATGTTACTAGGGCGGAAACAAATATATTCATTTAGACGTAATTGGTTAAATATACCAATCGTACTTTCACACGAAGGGTACGAATTCGAAAAGTGAGAGCAGCAAAGATGGAATTCGAGTAAAGGAAGAAGCAATCGAGTTATCGAATTTAAACCACTATACGAATCTACTGAGACCGTATTAAAAATTAAGAGTGAGAGAGAGAGAGAGAGAACAATTAATATAGTTGGAAAGTTTCTTTGCATAGGAGGGTACAAGAGAAAGGGGTTTGTTTTTTTTGCTAATCTTGGAGAACAATTTGACGACCGTAATGGTGAATTCTACCAGAACATAAAGTGAGTCAACTTTCTTGACGTAGACCTGCTTTTGGTAGCCCTCTTCAAGTAGGCTTCTGTCTTCTCTAACGCTTGGAAATTTATAGAGACTAAGCAATAAGCAAACGATCATTTGATATTTTTTATTTTTAGAATAGTAGGGGACGAAGTGATAGATGGCATAATACTTGAGCAACCAATAAATAAAGGTTGAACCCCAACCTTGAGAATCCCTACTGCTCCATCCCTAGAATTTTGTGAGGGAGATAATAGCGGGATATGCTTCAGTAGGGTAGGGAACAAGAGTTGCATGTACACTGTGCCTACAAGGAGTCCAATTCCATGTCTCAGAATTCGAATCTCCACGTTGCGACTGTCAGTAAAGCGTGAGATAACCTCACTCATATCCTTTGCACCACTGAACTATGTCCCGAGGGGCTTGAGCAACCAATAAATAGATAAGGTACTAGGTTCGTAGATAAGATAAGATGTGTCTCGTCTCGTATAAATTATACGCAATTCTCATGTAGTGTCTTGTTAGATTACTCTAGCTCCAAGCTTATGTGATAAACACTTGGCTAATTATTCAGATGTGTCCACAATGGAAAGTAGGCTCTGCCAGGTTCTTGTATTTGGTACAACATGTGGGAGATGCGTATGTTTGAAGATAAATTTTGAAATTAATGCCAAAATAAGTCCCTTTCGAGTTTGCTAAAAAAAAAAATTTATATGGATGTGAGTGATTTCTATTTGCTTAAGAATCCTTATAATACTAAAGGATAATCACATGGGCGGTGCTGGAATGACCCCACTTCTTCTGTTCCAAAATTATTAATACATATTCTCAATGTTTATGGATCTCTCTCCTTTGACTCTGTCTTCTCATAGTTCTAGGTTGTACCTAGTATTTTATGTGTTGCAATCTTATAGCACATGAAAAAAAAAAATCTAAGGTGGTTCTCCATTATTTTCTTGAGAAGTTGTGCTTTATATATGGATCTTATTGATGAACTCTTTGAGTCCTATCCTACTACTTCCTCGAACTCCAGGCGAGAGACCATGGATGAAGAATCATTTGATCAAACCTATGATTCAATCAAGAATCTGTCCCTCTCTGAAGGTGAGAAATTTGAGCCTTCCGGTTTAATTAAGACAACATCAATGGAAAGGGAAGAACAAGCTCAAGTAAAATCCAGGCAAGAGACCATGGTTGAAAAATCATTTGATCAAACCTATGAATCAATCAAGAACCTGTCCCTGTCCGAAGGTGAGAAATTTATGTATTCTGGTTTAATTAAGACAACATCAATGGAAAGGGAAGAACAAGCTCAAGCAAAAGTGAGTCAGTTTGCAAGACGAAAATCGAACACACAAGGCCGATTGGGTTTGGGTCGTGCTCCATCTCTACCAACTACCCTCGAATTAGAAGAATTTCAAGACGAAGAGAGTGACTTTCGTATGGGCAAGTTAATTAGGCAAGCTTCTCTAATCTATTCTGACATGTCGCCTCCTAGTCCTAGACATACTTCTTCAAAGGTACGTAATAACATGTTTAGTAAGTTAAGCTCGATCATACTGACATATTGTGTTACGGGTTTTACTTCTTTAATCTTGTCGAATTCAACCCGATAATACATAGTTACATTACAGACATATTGTGTTACGGGTTTTGCTTCTTTAATCTTGTCGAATTCAACCCGATAATACATAGTTACATTACAGGCTATGGCGCAAAGTTGTAGCCAGCCAAGAAATCAACCAGGTCGAAAGAAACCAGGATTAAAAAACCTTAAAATGGAGGGGACGGAACACATGAGAAAGCAATACCCAGCTAGTCAAATTAAGTCGAGTAAAAGCTTAACTAATCTTGAGTTCGAAGAAGTTCAAGGATTTAAGGATTTGGGATTCAATTTCGACAAGGTACAAGACTTAAATCCAAGTGTAGTTAGCATACTCCCAGGTTTGAAAGACAAGAAGCAAGTCAAATCAGCAGAAGAAGAAAATATGAGGAGGCCATTTCTTTCTGAGGCGTGGATGGCACAAAACTCATCATCTTCTTCAAGCAAAAGGTCAACAGAAGATATGAAGACACAGATCAAATTCTGGGCTAGAGCTGTGGCATCTAATGCAAGTGCTGATCATTAACAAAGAATGCCTTTTTCTTTGGATTATTATTAGTTGATCAAATTAGATAGATATTTTATTTCAACACGACCGAAGCTAGTACACAGATATATAACCACATTGGTTGAAAAGAGATTCTATGCTCTTTGAATTTTATGATGTTTTCTCATAGTAAGTATAGACAACCCCATTTAGTTGTAGCGTGTATCTATTTATGCATTTACAAAGCTCTAAATGTAGATGTTTCTATGGGTGGAAACCATTCTCAATGTAAAGCACAATTTTCAAGCCGCAAATTCGATCTTCAACTGTATATCTACCCACGCAATTCGCCTTCGTTTCTCATTTGTATTGCTTGTCGGGTTAGCTCCTTCAGCAATATTCTCTCAAGTCCTCATAAATTCATGCTTGGCCCAATGCCTGAGGCCCACGATCACTGGGTCAAAACTAAAGGAACTGATTAAGCTGCTACCGGCATATACGTTATTGGTTTGTACTATTAATGAAATGAATAGTTATCGGTTTCAAGACTTCACATGTTATACAGCTTTTCTTCAATTAATGGAATACAAACAAAGGGCGTATACAGAAAACCAGGCTGTCGACTCCTATCTGATCTCAACTCAACTTCTTATAATTTTGCTTTAAAGAGAGAATACCTGCATAAGCAAGGAGACTTAAAATATGTTACTTTTAAACGCAATGAAATAATAATAATAACTTTTAAAAACAACCAAATATCTCGTTAGGATTGCATCTATTTATAAATTTTTATTTGTAAATTTTGAGTTCTTGGGAAATTCTGTGTGAAGTTTTCCAGGTACTCACATGGGAAGTAGGCCCCATGTGAGTAAAATAATCTAAAAAATAACCCATCCACTTTATGCTACGTGTATTCTGTAAAGAATTTGTAGAAAAATATTCTGTACATGTATCAGAACTCTAAGTTCTTAAGGTTAAAATCGAGTGCATTCTGTGGTGACATGTTCTGTCAATTTACTGGGCGTGGGGGGGTGGGGTGTGGGAATGAGATACAAGTAGCAGGACACTAGAAAATCCTTAGCATTACAGTAATTACAAGGAAGCTTAAAATTAAGAACAAAAAATCACCTAAACAATGGAAAATTAAGGAAAACAATGTACAGACAGGAAAAAATAATACTACAGTCCCCAAGACTATTACACCAACCACGCTCTAAACTCTAAAGATTCCATTTTTAATTATTTTTGCCAGCTCAGAACCCGACTCCAGCCGCGCCGACGCCGAATGTGGCTCGTCTATGAGGCTCCAGTTTCCTCATAGCATTCTTCCAGTAACAAGACTCTGGCATCAGCTTAGCCGCCGCCGTCCTCATCGGTTCCGACTTGCACCTGGTGAGCACAAACGGCTCATAGCCAACGGCATTCACCAGCTTCTTTTCAATCATGGTAGCCATCGACGCCGCAGCGGCTGCCGCCGGCAGAGAACACGACGAACGTGGTGGTTGCTGGAGATGTTTCTGATTATTTTCGCTAGGTTTAGGCTGAGAAGAATCTGGGATGAGTTTCTTCCTTATTGATTCATGGTCACAGCCTTTCTTTATGGATTTTTGATTTGCTGGCCTCTCAGTTGGCCATCTGAGGAAATCTGTGCTGCAAACCCAGGTTTCTTTTGAGACCTCCATTGACAGTTTTGGCTCACACATCATTAGTAGTAAACATTCAGGCAATGCAGGGGTTTCTTTTTCTTTATTGGACTCTTTTTTGCCACTCCATTCTTGATTTTCTCCTTCTTTGGATTCTGATTCAATTGTTTCTTCTTCTTCATGAGCTTTTTCAAGATGGTAGCGTGTTTCCTCTTGGGTTTCTTCTACTCTCACCATTGCAGCTTCTTCTTCATACTGTGCTGATTCTTGTGTAGATATACTGTCTTCTTCTTCTTCTTCTTCTTCTTCTTCTTCTTCTTCTTCTTCTTCTTCTTCTTCTTCTTCTTCTTCTTCTTCTTCTTCTTCTTCTTCTTCTTCTTCTTCTTCTTCTTCTTCTTCTTCTTCTTCTTCTTCTTCTTCTTCTTCTTCTTCTTCTTCTTCTTCTTCTTCTTCTTCTTCTTCTTCTTCTTCTTCTTCTTCTTCTTCTTCTTCTTCTTCTTCTTCTTCTTCGTCTGATTCTGTTGATGAAGACGAATCGCAAAGTGGGTTCTGTTCTTCTATCTGTTGAATTGTGCAACCATCTTGTTCGTAGTGGTCTGTATTTTCTTGATCTAAAAGAGCTTCGAATGAAGACATATTTGATTCGATCTCCTCTTCAATCAATTTATCCTCGTCTACTTCTGGTTCTTGTTCAAGTTCGTGCTCCGTTTTGTTCAACAATTCCTCTATTTTGTGTAGCTCTACCACATTTTCAGGTACTTCTGTCTCTGAATCTGCATCGATATCTTGTTCATCTGATACGCCAACATTTTGTTGAGGAATTTCATCACACACTTCATCAGCAACTTTGCATTCCTGTACTTGTAAACGTTCTTCAATCTCTAATTCCATCTCTTCATCAACATCGTCATTTTTAGAAGTAGCATCTGCATCCCAGCTAAACTTGTTAGCAAGAGCAGCCATTTTCATAGGATCAGATCTGCACCTCATTAACAAAAGAGCATTCTTGGGCGGTATACAGATACTCGCCCTCCCTCCTGCTTCTTTTCCCTCTACACTTTGACCCTTCACTTCAATTTTATCATCTTTAATCTCAATATCCTCCAAAACATGCCTTCTTGAACTCCTCATTGACACCCTCTCCTTCAAATCTGTTTTCGTTTCCTCCTCATCTCCACCGCCCACCACCAGCTCGATCTCCCTTCTCTTCCCTCCCTCACCATCATTTACAGACACAAGCCATCTCGCGAACACAGCACCACACGAACTCTGCCCATTGTCACATCCATTGGATCCATTCCGCTTCTCTTCCTTTTCCCTCTCGCTTGTGGAGAAACACGAAGATTTGCAAGGGAACAAGCAGCTAAATTCAGCTCCAAAAGACCTTAAAGCTTCACATACTGTAACCGGCAAATGAACCCATCTCTGGTTTCTGTGCGGCAAGCAATCTTGTTGCTGCTGCTGATTTGCGCTAACTTTAGAGTACCTCTGTGCTTGAGAGAAAATTCTATCTTCATTTTGTTGCACTTTCTCAACAGCCTGTGGCTCTAGTTTCCTAAAACTAATTTCCCCACTCCGCCTTCTGGAAAGGCTACGCGTTTGCTTCACTTTTTTCTTAGTCTTCACCCTTACCTGACCAATACAGGTGACCTTAGGGGAAGAGGGCTCTGGGTTTTCAAAAGCACAACCTTTTTTCTTCCCTGGGGTGGAGAAAAATGGTGACGCGCCACCTTTGAGGCTGCCATTCTTGCGCAGCTTCCGGCTGAGTGAGCTGGAGAGAGAAACCGGAGCGTCACGGGCGGCGCGGCCCGGACTTAGGATTGATTTAGAAAGTTTCATGGAAGAAGAGGAAGAAAGGCGAGAGGCTAAACAAATCAAGATTTCGCTTGTATTAGCGGTGGTGCTACTAGCGGGTCTGCAATGGGGCCTGTCAAAGTCCATTTTGATTTGGACAGTATTTTTACTGAACCGAGAGGATTTTTTTAGCCATGGATGGATGAATCGTGCGGTAAAAGTTTAGAGTGAATGAATAATTGAGGGTGTGTGAATGAGTGATAAAGCTGCGTTTTGTATCTCGGAGTTGCAGATTCAGTACTGATTACCAAAGGGTGGGGGTAGTCAAGTCATTTTCTACTGGTCAAGATTTGTTTTCCATAGTCAAATTTACTGGTCAAGATTTCTTGTCCTATCTTGGTAGATAAGGAAAATGTCAAACAAATATAATGTTCGACACAAAAGATGACACCAGACTCACAATTGAGACGTGAGTTCCATGCTAATAAAATAATGTCGACCTCCTCATGTGTGTGCTATGTCAACCGTTGTGTTCATTTAGCACAAGCCGGTAGATAATTTTATCTAGCGACGGTTTTGAATGGTCAAAAACAATATTAAAAAAATAATAATAACAATAATCTCTCTTGGATAGATTCTCAGTGCATGTTTGTTTATAAGTTTATCAAAATGGGCATATTTAGGAAGTATTCAAAAACTGTTTAAATTGTAAATAATTATAAATGCATGATGTATATGTTGACAATACTTATAGATCCATCAAAACGTCTAAATAAAAAGTGATTTGAGTATTTATAAATATGGACGAAACAAAGAATCTATTTTTATTTCTACCTCTGTATGACCAAAATTTTTACACATTTCTTAAAACTCACGACTTATAGTCTAATAAAAGTTTTGTCAAACATGCTCTTAACTATCTTTATTAAATGATTTGGCATATTGTTATATCAATTTTGTCGACAGATAAGAAGTCGCATTTCAAAGGTAATGTCATATGTAGTGTTGATGTTTTAATATTTGTTAATCGGAATAGAGTTTAAATTTGTTATCTCGAATTTGTTGTCCTATTATATTTTTAACAAATTAACATATTCTATCTTTTCAGTAAAACTGAAAATGTAAACACAATATTTGGAACTTCAAGTTATATATATTATATCTTGATGCCTTCATATTTACTAAGGAAATGTTACTTATCAAAGTCTCAAAAATGTATGGTAGTCTCAACCGACTTGAGATATTCTATCGGTCCTTAGCTAAATGTAGGATTATGCTTGGGGAAAATTTTATTGGAAGTCATCGGATTTTAGATATTATTTTCACGTAGGTCACTTATTTTCATATATTGTATTATGACTAGCTAATTTTCAATTATTATTATTATTTTAGTTTAACCATTTTGTTTATAACTCCGGTGATTCTTTTCAATTTGTTTGGTAAATAAATTACTAATTTTGCAGTAAACAAACATGTGATAAAAAAAAGGTTGAACCCCAATTTTGAGGGTCCCCACCACCTCACCCATGGAGCCTCGTGAAGAAAGTAAATTACAGGATATGCCCCACAGGTCAAGGAATAAGAGTTTGCTCGTACACTGATACCCATAAATAGTCCAATTCCATATCTCAAAAATCGAACCCTCACATTACGGCTACCAATAAGGTTGAAACTACCTCACTCATGTCCTTTACACCACTAAATTATGTTTCGAGGGACAAACAAATATGTGATAGCCCACACGTTATGTCAACCATGTAATAGTGACTATTACATTTAGTCACGAATCTTGGAATGATGAAACAAAACTAAAAATATAAATCGAAGGATTAAATTAAGTTAAGTGATTAATCTAACAGAAATTAGTCGATTGTATGACCTCTAATGAAAATTTACCATCATGCTTAGGTTGGACAAATTACGGGTCCTTGGTCTTCCTCGAGAAACTCATTTTCTTATTTACAATTTTGTCAAATTCATTGTGCTAAGTGAAAAAAATTACCTTAACAATAATTAATTGACCTTTTCATGATTATCCCCTAACCTTTTTCACATGTTTAGCACCTAAATGAACTATACAGTACATTATAGTCGTACTAGTTTAAGGAATTGACTTCTGCTAGATTCATGGACGCAAGATCATTCGATATAGGTTAGTTGGATCATCAGAATGAAGTTTGACACCATGAGACAAGGCATCGTTAAATTCGCATGTCATTATTTAATGGGAAAAAAATTATATGACGTCCAAATATACGAATCATAATCTTTAAGAGCATGAACATATCAACTATCGCATCATTAATCTAAAATCTTCTTTAAGGTTTAATATCAATCACAAAATATTTATCGAGTTATACATAATAATAAGTCACATCTTAATTAGTATGTCCTAGAATGATATCAGGATCGATGAACAATATCTAATTATGTATGATTTACGTGAGGCACGTGGTGCTAAACAGTGAGCTAATAAAGTTGATTAATGACAAGATAATGAGGATTAAGGCAAAATTATTCCGTTTAAATTAGATTGTGACTGGACGTGGCCAGATCATGATGTGACTATGAACATGAATTATAGTGTCCTGGCAAGAGTCGTTTTTTAAGGTTAAATCGACAGACAGTGGCATTTGTGATATTTTTAGTAATTTACGGGTCTAATTTGACGGAAATCACACATGAGATGTAAAGGTCATAGTTTCTTTCCGGGAACTTGTTACATATACATAATGAATTACATAATATCATGCGACACTCTATCATTTGTCAGTTTAAAATACAATCAACTTTTTCATCCAATATTTTTCCTTCACATCATATTATGTAATCCATTATGTATATTTTTTATGTACAAGTAGCAAAATCCTTCTTTTTGCATAGGATTCAAAGTTTAACACAGTCTGGCTCTGGCATGGAATGATGATTGAACGAGGTTAAAGATAATTACTTTGATTAAAGTAAAAATGAAGGACTTAATCGTTATATTAGTAGTCTTGGTGAAAACTCAAAAGCGGTTACTTGAAGATGAGGTTTTGACCAACTTTTACCCCCAAAAGCAATGTCGACGTGGGGGGATGGAAAACTTTTTTGATAAGTATTTTGAATTTGGAATTGCCGTGATTTTTATTGATATTTATAAAAAAAAAATCTTTATAAACTGAGCTATTTTTAGAGTCTGTCTCTGTTAATTGAAAGTAAAATTCATCCTGTGTTTTTTCCTTTTCATTCACTCGAATTTCTTTCGTTTCATCGATTTTGTTCAGATCCTTCTTTCTTCCGAAAAAAAGGAAAGAAAAGGATCTTCTTCCTAAGAATAGCTAGAATTTCCAGAAGAAGATGCCAATTGTTTGATGAGAAATAAAAAGGAATATCGAAAATTCGAGTGGCTGAAGTTGATACAACTACTTTCGAAATAACAGAAAGAAAAGCAACGACCGGAGTGGAAAAGTCAGAGTCGAAAAGAAGATTCCTCACTTCTTTCTCTCATTCAAAACCGTGTATGAGAAAAGTTACAAGAAAACTTACAATGATATTTTAGTTATTTGTTGGTCGCTATAAATAAAAAATAAATCTGGGAAAGAATAAATTTTTGTACCGTGGATGTCGAAGACAAAATTAATATTAAAAACAATTAATTAGCCTGAATATTTAAATACTAAAGCAAACAATTTTCATTCTGTATTTTGTCATGAAATAAAAGCGACCCAAATGCTCTTTTTTTGGCTGGTGTGCTTCCTCAATTTTTCGCTGTACGAATATATCAATTTACATTTATGCCTTGTGAGAGAGATCAAAATTAAAATTATTATAACATCAATAATTACGAAATTCAGACTGCTCTAAGAACTTACAGATCGACATTTTGATCTTTAGAAGGTCTCAGCTACTCATCTTCCCCGTCTTTATTTTATTCTGCATCCAAGGACCGCGAGCCATAGCCATATCCACACCACACCCACTCTCCGTGTAGAAATTAAGGCTCACCAATTTACAGAAACACAAGTCGAGCTTATTGCACCGGTTCATGGACAGTAGGTTTGAGCTCATCAAGATCCAACACAACTTTACCTTGAATCAGCCTCTTATCCTTGGCCTCATGAGCTTCTCGAACTTGTGTAATTGGAAATGTTCTCTCCACTGGGATTTTCAGCTTTCCAGCCTTGGCTAGACGGCTAATCTCATCTAAGCCTTCAGCATCAGCCCTCATGTAAGTCCACCAATATTCTGTACCATGTCATAAGTGGGCATAATCAGATGATATTGAAGATATCACTACTCTCATCCGTTATTTCCAAGCTTACCATAAGAACATAAAAACATGCAACAAAATCTTTTCAGTTTATCTGACCAAAATGAGCAAAAGCTATTCCAATTCGATAATATATTCAACTGGATAATATTTAGTTTCATGTAGTTCCTACAACAAAGTCACGCTTCTAAATATTAGTAACTGACAGTCTGACCTATTCCATGAGAATACCGATATTGAATTTGCTTCTTTAGTAAAGTAGTAGTTGCCAACGGAAGGCCGATTGCTAGTCCATATTTATCCGTCAAGGATGCAGCCTCCCCCTGTAGCAAACAGGGCAAAAACTTTGCACCATTATGAGCAATAACGATAAACTGGAGAACAAGATGGAGTAGCTTCTTTTATGTACCTGCAATGTCATGTAATGTCCACCTCTCTTCAAAAGATTGATGCCTATTCTTTCTGTCTCAGGTACACCAATTGTGTCCAAAACAGCATCAAAATATCCTTTTATGGCTACTTCATAATTCTGCAAATCAGAAACTTGTATTAAACAAAAGGAGGGAACATTTCAAACAGTGATCAGCAAGATAGACCTTGTGATCATACTCAAGTAGGCAGAAATTTAATCACGTTTCTTCTTGTACCAAAACTTGAGTTTTAAGAATTAAGTATATTTATAATTGAAGGTTTATAAAGCGGCATCATTATTTGATTTGAAGAAACTGAAAGAATCACACATTTGAGCATCATAGGAAAGATAACTCTCCTCTTTTTTCATTCACTTATATCTGATCTAAAACGAAGAAATAGATCAAAGAAAGAAGAAAGAATCCATGACCATTTTTCATAAGACTGAGTTTTAAAAATAATTATAAAAAAACTTTTGATAGGGAAGATGAGAATCACTGTTTGATTTTCTGATTGCAAAAATTCATAGTGAAAAGGGTCGGAGGGTCATTCATATCTATCAGATGGTAAAAAGAGGTAATTAATTTAACACCTCAGTTGTATAGTCCACAGCCTGCTCAGCACCAGCTGCCAAGAGACGATCTACACTTTCACCTCCACATGTGGTTGAAACATGGCACCCTGCAGCCACAGCAAGCTGAATTGCAGAAAAACCTACAGCTCCTCCACCACCCACTACTAATACTCGTTGCCTGTATATATATACTAAATCAACCTTTGAATGCTTTATTGTTGTTCAAAGAGAGAAAAGTTACGAACACCACTATTTATAAAGACATGCTACAATAATCTTATATTTATTCTCTCCCAATAATTATATCTTTGTAACAATTAACTCATTAGAACCATGTCAGTCTGCTTAAAAGCTTAACTGAAACCTAAGATCTTCTTCTGCATGCCTGACAAGCTAAAAACAAAGTCTACAAATGTATTTATTAAGAAGCAAACTAGAGCATTACTTGTGAGCATCTGATTTTCATGCTTAAACAACCGGTCAAATAAATGATTGTGCTTGATTCAAGTGTATTCTTGTTCCTAGTAATAAACATCGCAGAAATATAAGACACTGAAAGCAACCATGTGTGCAATATGCACATTTCATGATCAAATCATCTAAACAATCTCAAGGGACCTGCAAAATAAGAAGAGTCATGTGACCCCAATTTCAAATGTTTATTTCCTTGAATCATGGCACAAAGTTACAAAAATTGTTAATTTCATTATAGTGACCTCAAAATGCCTACGCGTTAGATAACCAGCTTAATCTTACAAACTGTGAACAACTAAGGGGAGACAGCAGATGTACTTGGTAGCCTTATTCCAGCTTGCTATTCATTACATGCTTAAAAGTATAAAAATGGCAACCAGAGATTTTTATTTGAGAGCATTAAAAACGTACCCCTTTTTAATTCTTGCGGTACTTCTTAGTGCACGCCAAGCAGTCAAGGCAGCAAAAGGAATAGCACTTGCTTCCTGTCCGAATCATAAATAAGAATGAAAAAGTCAACTTAGGGTAAACAAGAGGCAGATGCAATGGAGCGTTGGACCTCAGTAATTCGAACTGCAGCAATAAGGAGAAAGAACATGCCTTTAGAACCCATTATAAACCCTTGATATGGGGAAGGTTGCATTAACAGTCCCCAATCTATACATAAATGAGCACCTGATCACATGCAATTATGTGTAACGTTGTACTGGTCTTTTTTAGCAGAATGTACCTCTGGTGCCTACATGCTACAAGATTGAAGGTTCCGCCTCATTTGCCAAGAAAAATTGAACGAGGACCCGAAGGCTTTCTATTGTACAGATTGAGGACTGGATGTAAAAAATTACTATCAATAATATACCAAGCTACCAATTTCCCAGTCTGCATATACTGTATTTTGAGATTCCTAATCACCGAGCCAAAACAAAGCTTCTAGGCAAAAGAAAAACAGTTGTGAACAATTGAATGTTCCCATAAATAGCTTCATACTCCAAGACTTACCACGTGTGAAATTGATGCTGGCTTTGAAGTTAGTTCATCTTCTGCAAGTACTGCATAGTCAGTATAAGTACCCCTCACCGCAGTTGGATGCAGCGCACCAAACACTTCCTGACCAACACTGAATGAGCGGACAGAACCTCCAAGAGCAGCAACTTCACCACTTATATCACGGCCCAAAATCAATGGCAGAAGTGGTTCAAACAACGAACGACCATAACCAGATCGCATCTGAAAAATATTGAAAGTTGTAGCAGAGATCTGAGTGTGAAGTATGCACTATAAAAATCTAACTAGTTGCTGTGGATAAAAACTTAAACTCTAGCAGACAAAAGAAAGTTGCATATCAGGTAAAAGCTCTCACAATTTTAAGCCCCTGATCATTTTCCATTCTTCCAACACTCTATTTTCTACATACTCATTTTAAACCACACATTCACACGATAAAATATTTTTCACGTAAACCAAAAACTTTTCTCACTTTTACACATTCTCCAAAAATTCACTATTCAAAATAATGTCTTTTCAAGCAACTTGAGATCTAATTAGAAAAGATCAAAAATCAATGAAGATATTAAATCAAATCCATGGTAATAAATACAATGATTTTTCAAATTCAATGTGGTATTTCAATTAGAGATCTTTGTTCTTGAATTCTTGCTCCAGATCCTCAATTCTGCCTCCGTTCCTCTATTATTAATATTCGTTTAATTTGAGCTTGAACTGGAGTCTGTAAGATGTTGAATCTACTTTAATTCTTTCTCCAATTCTATTGTTTTCTCATGAGCACTAGATCTTTCCAAGTATCATAATGATCAGTAAAATAATCTTAAGAAAGTTTAAATATAAATATCCTTGTAATTAGCATAAAGAATAACATGACACCGGTAACTGGAAATGTCTTCCTAGTTCAAACACAAAAACAACATGAACACATCCCCAACTACTATTGTGAGGAAGGAAGTTAAAACTCTTGCCACCAAATAGTCGTAAATTTTAATTAACCTTTAGGAAATCTTTTACTATAATGATTCGTATCACGTACTTGAGAATTAAACCAAACACCAAATGCTATCGTGAGAAATATTAATATGGTAACATTATCTTCTATTGGAGTCAAAATTTAGATAATACATTTGTCCACTCCCTAACATCGTAGGTGAGAATGAAATCGTTTAATTTTATGGTCTTTCTGCATGCATTATCACGTATGGGTTGGGTTCATTTTTCCGTTAATGACTTAACACGTACAATTTTAATGAAAATGAAACGAAGATTCTTGAACCCAGGATGTTTTTATAGTTGTAATACCAAGTTGTGTGCTATCCCTACGAGATATATCGATATCCGCAATAAGTTAAGAATCAATACGTGGGTTTTAGGGTGTAGAGTTGGAAGGACATCATGTGTTCAAGCTCCTAGTTTCTCACATGGTCGATACACTGAAAAAGAAGAAATAAAATTAACGTTGTAGATCGTTAAATGCACACAAATCAATGAAAACTTAGGAAAATACGACTGCTTGATGTGAAAATATAGCGACTCTAGTGAACCGTCAGTTTCTTTCAAAGCACGCTTTGCAGAATCAGAATGTTACTTGTCCCTAATTTACTATCTTAGTTCTGAAATTTCTGAGCTTCAACAATTTTCATATGTTTCTTCTGTGCTCAATTGAGAATTGGGAGTCAAAAGACATAAGATCAAGTTTTCAGTGATGGAGTGAGCAATTGATCTTGTGTTTGTTCACAAAGAACTAGCGCTCAAAGTATGAAACAAGAAGAAAGCACATTTGATTTTAAATTATTTATTCTATAATGTTAATACAAAGAGTGTGTACTAATCCCTCAATAAACAAACTACAATTCGTTCGTCTTTTCGGGGAAAATTCAGTGACATACCACATTTCAAAAGACAAAAGCAATTTACATTTACTCGTCTCTAAGTCTAACCTAATAGTTTATTAAAATTGGATCGGTAACTCCCAATTTTTACTCGATCACCAAGGAAGCATATTAAAATCGTGGAAGCCCCTAAAATTCCACAACGAAAAACAAGAGCTTAG